TAGTGATCCTTTACTAGTCTTGCCTCAGTATATCCCTATCTCTCTTACACTGGCCTGGGGCCTATGCTGGACACACCACATATGGCCTCACTAGTGCTGAGTAGATGAGAAGGATCACCTCCCTTGACCCGCTCGTAACACTCTCCCTACAGCAGTCCCAGATGCTCCACAAGGGCTTCCAGGTCCTTTTCTGCAAAGCTGCTTTCGAGACAGTTACCTTCAGCATGTACTGATACATGGAGTTAGTCCTCCTCAGGGGCAGGATATACTCAACTACAGGACTGCCAAAGATTGGTATTGAAAATAGCATGCTGGAGGAAGCTCACTAGAATTACATGCCAGGAAGTTAGGAAAAAAAAAAGACTCTGCGCTTCCTCATAGTGCCATAAACATGACTGTTGAGGAAATGTTCTGCACCAATTTGACACATCATCTTACTGAACTTTGGGACATGGACCTAGAAGAAGAATTCTTTACAAACCATTTCTAATGTCTTCAGGTAAAACTAGAGCCTTTAAAGTAATGGCTAGTGAATGCTGGTTGTTTCTGACTTAGCTTTTAAACAGTTACATTTTTTTTATCATTAGGTATATGCTGATAATCAATGGACTTAATGGGATTGTACTCACATAGATACAACATTTATTTGTTAGATAGGAAGTGCAGCCCCCTTCAGGAATATAGCAAGTTTATTTTTTATTGATCACTTTGGGACTTCCCCAAGTTTCAACAAGCTGGAAATGCTTTCAGCATTTGCCTTGCTTTACACAATAAATACAGCAAGAATTGTATTTATTATTTTAGACATGCCACTATCATATTGTTTGCATGAGTTTACAGTTGCTAGAACTAATGAATACAAAGCTAAACAAAATTAAACAAACAAATTTTAGATCAAACAGAAGCACTTCTTGTATGGTGAATCTTCTCAGCAGATCTGCTGGGAGGAAAAGAGGGAGATGGCACTGTTGTGTGCTGGCATGACAGTGGGATGGCCAAGGCTTCCTAAGAGCTACCTGATACATCAATATCTTCTAATGGTATGGATTTCTACAAGTTCTGAAAGTTTGCTTTATCTCCTCTAGATTGCAAGGATCGCTGCAGAGAATATGTCTATTTAAAGAGCTGTTAAGTCAAACAGGCCCTTGGTTAAAATATTAATCTTTTTGCTCAGCATTCCTGAGTCATACCTACAACCTGTATGCCAGCGTGTGATACCATAAAAGCAGTAATAGGACAAAACCCCTAGTTATTTTCTCATGCAGCATCAGCAAAACATATTCAACTCATGTACGTCTCTGACTCAATGGCTGTGCTTCACATTGGAAAACATCCTCCCCCATTTTTGTAAACTGATGAACCAGTAGTGTAACTGGGTGTTTGTCCTAAAAAATCTTAAGTCTTTCTTCAGTGAATTCCACACCCTATTTCCATTGAAAACCTGCTTGGGCTCCAGTGAGAATTTTCTGCTTGCTACAGCTCAAATGCAGAACTGCCTAGACCTGGATCGGGTGCCTTTTCCCTTTGGGTTACTGACAAAGCTCCAAGGAAGAGCTGACTTTCCTAATGGATAAACCCATTTTAAAAAAGCCTATTAACTGTGCTCAGAAAACCCACTGGATGGAGAATCTCTGTGCCCAGACACCTGGCCACACTAGCAGCATGCCAGGCAGCGTGGCACAGCTGTCAGCCTCTCTGTGTGGCACATTCACAATTAGCATGTCAGCTCCAGGGGTACCGAATTCTGTCTCCTATCCCGTAGCAGCCAGCGACCCTTTCTAAACGGGGTTGATTGGTGTTACTCGGAGACATCTGTGTGGTGCAACGCATTGACATGAGGTGAGAGCTTGCTTGAGGAGGCAGCAGAATGTGTCAATATAATTCAGAGGAAGCTGTATCAGGCGGTGAGTGAAGGCACGTCTTACAATGCAATCAAAGAGGATGATCAACGAACTGAATTAAATGTGTGCCGTTCCTCTCTTACTTCTACACCAAAGACAGAAAGACTTACAGGAATTAGAAATATTGCAGTATCATACCTGTCCAGCCATATTTTGCAACAGACTTTTTTTTTTCCCCCACAGATGCCTGCTCATTAACCTTTGCTGGAAGAGAAGGAAAACGAAGCACAATAAAAGTGCGGGAAAAGCTGAGGCCAGGCAGTTGGAAGAAAAAAATAACCAATCCATTTTCTGAAATGTTTCTGAAATTTCCTCAATTCAGGGGACCAGATCTTGGCTTTAATACATTTTACAACACTGTGAAATATATTGTCCTTCTTGCATTCACAGCACCAGCAGAATCAGAGTCTGGATGTGACAAACAAGCACACTTTTTCTTTACTTCTAAGACCAGGTTTGAAACTTTGAAGTCACTGTAAAGGTATCAGCGAATTTTTCAGTAACATTTAAGGTGACCCTTTTTGTGTGTGTATATTCTACGAGTATATGTAAATTACAAATATGTGTATTTGTGTGTGTATGATCTGTTTATGTACAAAACCAGAACTGCTGTGCAAACTGACTGACTTATGAGCTGAACTTATTTCAACACACTCTGGCAGATCTCCCAATTGCTGCATTACAGAAAATTAGTACTATGCACGTTCTGATCTATTAGGCTGGTGATGGATTTGTAGGCAGAAATGCCCATGTGTATAGTGAGAAATATGGAACGAAATGTTGGTTCAATTTTCAGCAGGCCTTTGGGGTTTAGAGACCCAGCAAACATAATGCCAACCAATGCCTGTCTTGAGCTGAGTTCATCTGAAGTCAAGATGTACAACGTCTGGTTTCTACCACCAAAAGAACTGCCAAAAAAAATCATATTTTTGTCATTACTAAATATAAAACATTCTGCAGCTCTGCCTCAGGCTCTTGGAAACTCACATGCAAACTAGTGTTTTGGGTGAGTGAGGAACATTCTGCAGAACAGCTTTTACCAAGCTGGGATGGGTCCTGGCAGTGCTTGAAAAAAGCACATGAATAATGAAAATCCAGAATTAAAAGCGCAACTTCATCATACCCATTCCAAGGGTACAGGCCTCTCAAATCAAGGTTTGCAGAAGTGAAATAGCCTGGATGCAGAAGAGACTGAGAAGATCTGGGTTGTAGGGACCTTCTATACTTCAATCCCCTCTCCAAAACTCAGAGCTTAATGACAGAACTGACATTGCTCCTTCTGCAGGCTTCCCAGAGGCTTTGTCCTTAGAATCCAGCTGGCCATAGTGCACTGCATCACCCCATGTGATGCCCCATCCACAGAACAACCTCCCAAACCAATATGCCCCTCCTACTTCCTTCAGTCCACCAAAGCTCAGTCATTTAACCAAAGCTTTATCCAGCTGGTAGACACCTCTGTCCTTGAAGCAATGCACCTAAAGTCAGACAGTAGAAGTAATAGCTCTAGAGCCATGACAGGCTTCTGGAGTGTGTTGGTGTCTTCCAGATCCGGCTCAATGGTGTTTTGATGTATTTTTGAAATGCCCTCCTAGCTAAACCCTTACTTATAATGTAATCTAAGATCTTGAGACCTTCTCCCACCACCACTTACCCAGGCATTTAAGTATGACACAGCTAAAAAAATGCTTCTGGTGAAAAGAAATGCTTCTAGAAAACAAGCACACAAATTGCTTAAGCAGCCTGTGGGTTGCATTAAACAAAGTTGCTACTGCCAGAAATGCATTGACTCTGCCATGTACACAAGAACTGTGCGCTCCAAAACAAAATCAAAATCCACCTTGCATCGCAGCGCAAAGGCAGCCAGCCCTGGCCTCTGGGGAAGCACATGCAAAGCAGGAGGCCTCTGCAGAAAAATACCTTTCACCGATTCTAGACAGTTCATTCTATGGCGTGTCCCCTGGTGATTTCTAACTGCTATGGTGATGAACAGGCTGAAAGGAAATATGTCTGATATAAAAAAACAAAACAAAACAAAAACAAAAACACACAAAAAAACCTACAAGCAAACAATAACAAAATAGAAGAGAGCAACTAAGTAAAGGCTGCTCAAGTTGCTAACACAAATATCCAAAAGATGTAACTGTAACAGTAGCAAATTGTTTGGAATGGACATAAAATGCAAGTTTCAGAGCTGAAGTCAATAACTAGATGAGAAAGAGATCTTGAGAAGATTTTTTCAACTGGGTAGAAAAACCTCCGTCTGCCTATTGCATAGTTAGACAATCCTCCAGAGCATTTGGAAAAGTAGTCACTGCTGTCAGGAAACAGTCTGTTCTCACATTTTTATGTCTCCCACTGATCTGCTACCTGAGGAAGAGAGAGATAACCTTCATAGTGAAAAACACTGCAATAATGTAGCCCACTAGAGAATGTCTGGAGAACGTCTACTTAGAACAATGTTAACTTGGTTTGTGGTTTGAGGAAGACAGAAATGATAGGTATTTTGGGGATGGGGTGGGAGGTAGGAGAAGACTTACTGCACACATGCATACTTTCAGTAGAAAGCTTCCTAATGGTGAATCACTTGGAGCAGAACTACATAAATTTCAGGATCCAGTTTTTCTCTCTACTCCAAGTATTGGGTTAGGAGCAAATATTGCTCCTAGAAAAATAGTACCGAAACAAATGCTAGACAAGAGTCTAGATTCTTCACATCTTTCAGATAAATGGAACCTTGTCAAATGAGAAGCAAATGGTAGAATATTGTAGTAGTGACAAAAGCTCTGATCCAACAGTCAGGGCATGCTGCTGTGCTCATGCAGGGCCTCAATGACTTGAATATTCTCCATGAAAGCAGAGCAGTCCCTTTGTACACTATCAGCTACAACACTAGGACCAAAATAGGAGCAGTACTCAGTTCCACACCCCCACCATGTTGGCAATAATTCAGAATCGCTGAGACTAGTTGGAAAGGAAAAAAATAAAAAGCAGTGTTTTAAAACTCTCTAATGTTAGCTTTTTATGTGTCTAACATCAAAGCATTTTTTTACTTCTATTTAATCAAAATTAATCACTAAGATTATTACAGTAATTTATGTTGGAGATTATTGAAATGAGTGTTTTATTAAATTCTGGTTTTATTAATAAAACACATTCTGGCTAAGGAATCATGTGAGCCGGCTATTAGAGACTATTAACTGGGAACTGGGAGTTAATCATAACAGTTATGCTGCCAGGTTCTTTGACAGCAACACACACTGGGTTTTTTATTTCTTCTTTCACTTGCATATTCAAATCAATTAGTTAACCACAGCACATGAGTGGTCAGAGTAACTCCTGTGAAATAGGAAAAGAAAACAAAGGTACATCTATCTTGGTAGTTTTGAACAGAGAAAATGTAATCAGTAAGAGACTCACCAGCCTGATTAGTTGTGATGCTGACAGCAGCAAATTGTCTGGAAAGCGTACTCAAGTCAGATACCCCATTGACTGCATCAATCTCAAAAGTGTAATTGGTATGTGCCAAAAGATCCACTACTGTCACCGTGGTGTTGCTGAGTCCAGTCTGACGGGGTAAGAATCGCACGTTATCACTACACGGCTCACACATCTTGATGTTTCCTCCACATTTTTTGCAAATGATGTTGAAAGTGACATCTTTCCGACCTCCAGTGTCAAGAGGCCAGCTCCAGTCCAGGATAACGGACGTCTCATTGATGTTAGAGATAACGTTTCTTGGAGCAGATGGTGGTCCTATAAAAGCAAATGGGAAATCAGAGGGATGAGATTTTCCATAGTGCTCTAAGATGGGAGTAACAAGGCCACAAAACCAGTAAAAAATATAAATAACCAAACACTTCCAGTTACTCGCTGTAGAGACTGCTGAGATATTTCACTGGACTATAAACCTAGACTATCAAGGACCATGTTTTCTTATAGACAGAGGGTACTCTCAGGGTGCAGTCCAGGATTAAGGGCTGAAAATATTGGTAGCAATTTAAAAATTGTAGCTCTCCTTCTGAAGTCTGACAGAGAATAAGAAGGAGAAGATGAAAATAGCAGGACAGAAATCCATTCCACCAATTTTTGGTAGCCTGTCCAACATGTAAGAAGACATGGGAGGCAGTGGATGGCTGACTGCAATGGGACATGACAGGAAGCAAGCAAGCTGCTGAGATACAGATGGAGGAGCAAGAATGACAGCCCCGAGCATAATGATGCTACTCACTGGTGCAAGCCATGGATGGAGGGTCTTTCTCAGAGCGAAAGTAATTCTTTTCACACCTGCAGTTCAGAGATGCTTCTTCATAGGTAGAGCTGTGAGGTGGGCATTTGGCACACTTCACATTGCCAGCAGAGGCTTTGTAGAACCCAGGTCGACAAGCTGAAACATAATGAGAATATAACTTTAAATTCCATGGACATTTCCTTGATTTTAACTTGTGACTTTACTACTGCCCTGGGACCTATCCATATATAGATCACATTTTGCAGACATCTATGGCTTAAAAATACAGATTTTTCTTATAACGAGAAAGCTGATGGAAATAAAACCTCTTGGTAGAAGGGAGCTCTTCATGCATCAACTTGAATTTGCATTTAATTTTGCCTGGAAAACTAAACAGTGTATTGCTCGCTAAAAAGAAACATTTTCTATGTTGCATTTTGAGAACTTCACTTATTTTTCTTCTCTTCTGTTTCATTTAACCAAACATTGTCCCTATACTGCATAAAAAACTAACTTTATTCTCCCTCCGCTACCAAGGTTTGCTTACAAGGGCACGCTAATTGCAAACTATGTCT